CAGTTTGCATAAACAATGATCTCATATGTAGGTAGCATTGGATCCAGCGGTACACTCGCCCACCCAAACCAACTGACTCGAGGGCGTCAAGTATGGCTTCGTGAGAAACATTGTCATATGCTCCTTTGACATCTAAAAATAGTGCGACAGATAACCGTCTGCTCATTTTCTGGTGTTGTACGTAGGTCACCAGGTCAATGACATTGTCAATGGAGCTCCGAAGACGACGAAAACCGGCCATGGCGTCTGGATATATTCTATGGCGTTCTAGGAACCACTCGAGTCTGGCAAGGATCATTCGCTCCATCAGCTTCCCTACGCAACTAGCCAGCGCTATTGGGCGGTATGATGTCAGCTCTAGAGGCGATTTTCCAGGTTTGAGAAGTGCAACCAACCGGCTTGTTTTCCACTCTCTGGGGACCGTTCCATCTCTCCAAGACTCATTGAATACTTCCAGCAAAGCACTTCGTGCTCGATCACCGAGATTGCATAATAGGCGGTATGATATGCCATCCGGCCCAGGCGATGACAATCGATTGCATGAAGCAAGAGCCACATTCAGTTCTTCCATTGAAAAAGGCAGGTCCAGGTGCGGGTCAAGTGAATGTGGCGTGTAATCAGCAGTAAGGGCTTCTGTGCAATTTGGTGGGCCCGCAATCTTCCTACAAAAATCTTCCGCTACCTCGATATCCCTTCTATTTTGGAAAAGGGCCAAGGCTTTAAACGGAAAACGTTGTTGGGGAAATGTGCGTAGGCCTCGCACGGTTCGCCATATTTGAGAAAGCGGTTTGCGAGGGTCTAGACTCGCGCAAAATTTCGCCCACCGTTGAAACTCCAGTTTGTCTATACGACGCTGGATCTTCTTTTGCATGCGCCTGGCCATCCGTAGATCTTGAATGGATTTTGTGCGTCGATATCTACGCTCCGCACGCCGACGAGTCGCACGGAGTCGCTCTAACTCCATGTCCGTTTCTGAGGGCCTTGAAGAATATGCCAGCGTGCGCATCGCACTTTGCGCTGCTTGTTTGATCGCTTGCTCAATGCCAGAGGTTAAGCCTTTTTCACAAGCGTGTTCAATGTTGGTTGTGAATGCTGAAAGATCGATCTTCCGTACGGTTTTCGGCGGGTGGTCGCTAGCAAAGCCTTCGATGGTGAGATAACTGGGGATGTGATCGCTACCATGTGTCTCGATGTCTAAAAACCACTTAACGCTTGTGGCGAAGCGACGTGACACGAACGTCAAGTCCAAACAGCTGCTGTACGTTGATCCTCGCAGAAATGTAGGGCTCCCATCATTAAGTAGAGACAGTTCATGAGTCGATACAAATGAAGCCAGCCTCCGGCCCGTGGTATTGACTTTTGAACTTCCCCAGATTGGGTGGTGGGCGTTGAAGTCCCCTATAATTATCCACGGATCCGGGACGCTCGAAAGAATGTCATCCAGTCTTTGGCAATCAAAACGGGCTGAGGGAGATAAGTAGACACCTATTAATGTGAAGGTGAGGGTTTTCTGCTTCACAGTCAGGCAAACATATTGGTTCTCATCATGAGGCGACACAGGTTGAATGATGTAGGTAAGCTCCCGACGAATATACACAATGACCTTGCTGCTTTCGTTTCGGGTTTTGGACGGGATTGATTCGTAGCCAGATAGCCTGATCGGGTTTGATAATTTCGGTTCACATATTACGATGATTGGGAAAAGGTTAGAAAACACGTACTGACGAAAATCGGAAATCCGTGATCTAAGTCCTCTTGCGTTCCACTGGATGACTGATGCTTCTCTGACGTCTTTGCGGAACGATTGTTGATCTCCTGCCATGACTCTACGCGAGGGAGGCGAGGACTGGGCTCAGCGCGTCCAACACCTGTAACCCGCTTCGAGCGGTTGGAGTTCCCAGGCTTCTTAGTATGTCTGCCATGACAGCGACGAGGGATCGTAACATCGGGATGATCTGTCGATCGACCCTTGACACATCCTCAACGGAAGTAGACTCGGTGGAAGGTGTAGGGCGGCGAGGCCTCGCAGGAGGCTCCTTTGCAGGCTGTGTACGCGGAAGCGTAGGCCACTCATCCGCAGCTGTGAGCTTCTCCACTTCTTTTCGCTTCGTGCTTACTACTTCACTCGTGCTCGGAGGAAATGGGTTATGCGCAACACTCTGTCCTCCACGCCTCCGTCGGCGACTACGTCGCCGCCGTACCCTTTCAGCAGCCTCTCTGTGGGTTGAATTGTCCCTAACCATTTGTTTGATAATGGCGATTTCCTTCTTAATCCGAGGGCATTCCTTGGATGCAGTATCATGCGGACCATCACAGTTTCTGCACTTCAGACTTGTTGCCCGACATGCGTCTGCAGTGTGCGGCTCAGCGCATCGGGGGCATACTGTGGTGTTTGTACATACACTCTTGATGTGACCAATTTTCATGCAGTTATGGCACTGGAGTGGTTTAGGGACAAATGGTCGAACAGGATGTCGGAAGTGTCCCACTTTGACATGCGACGGAATGGAATCTCCTTTGAACATTATCTTTACACATCGGGTGTTTCCGAGGCGAAGTACATTCGCGATGAGAACTCCTTCGTTCGCTGGTTTTATGAGAGTTGGGAGGTCCGAGTTTGCTATGGCCAAATCAATGTCGTAGATTACTCCCGCCGTGCAGGCACCGTCCATTGGAATAACCGGTCGTACTTTGATGCCTCCCAAATCTGATACTCTGCGAAGCTTGTCTATGGCGCTGGCAGTCATTGTGTCCACAGCTAGAATATTCTTCCGCGTGTTCACCCGGATATCCTTAATGTCGTTTGGTGCTACCCCCTCAAAGTACATAGAGAGAGCTTGCCTGTTTACTGCTCGAAGGCTGATGGTGGAGTCCTCGGGCATGAAGAGGATGGTGTGCGGCCAGCATTCTCCTTTTGACTGAGACGTTAATGTCCCTGCTGGTGAAGACGACTTGATACTTCTTCTTTTGGCCTTCCTGCTTCTCACGGTCTCGAAGTCGTCATCCGACGAGTCGTCGCCAGTGGCCGAGTACAGTTCCGTGTCCTCGCTGGTGCTCGAACAGGTGCTTCGTTTCCGCGACGAGCTTGCCAAAGGTGGTCTATGGTCGGATATAGCCGCAGAAGGCTCCACGTCCACAGCCATGATGCAGTGACTATCACCGTTGGCCTCACTGGTTCTGGGCCAGGCGCGCTGATTTACCGAGGAGCTCGCCATAGCAGACCTCTGGCTGGGCGGACCAGTGGATGACTCCGCGTCCGTCGCCTTGGGGCAGGGAGCAGCGTCTCCCGTAGAAAGCGAAAAACTTGATAACAATGCTCGGAGCCGAAAGCAGAAGCGTTCTATGAAGAGACACTTCGTCGTCGTCCCCGAAAATTCGGGATGTGAGTTTCTCCCAGGAACGGATTCCTACGGTAAGAAAAGACTTTGACTAAATTGTAGCATCATCATCGCCATTCATCATCATTTTCTTAGCCACCGCGCCGCGCCTCTCGCGCAGCTCATACGGTGCCATACCTGAAGCTTGAGCTGCGCGAAAAGAGAACGAGTGGCGTGTCAAACGCTGGCAGCCACCGCCGCTCCGTTTCAGCCTACAAATAAAGTGGCGAGATTGGCATCGGCCGCCTTCACGACGACGTCTCACGTCCCTCTACTCCCGCTACTATACATTTCCGAAAAATTCTCAACTTTTGCCGACCAAATATTTGAATGTGTTGCTTGAAGACCACTTCAATTGTCCACAGATAAGTTGATTTATAGCCACATATGCTTTCGTTAATGCCAAGAAAGCAGGAGTGGGCACCTATTCAACAGCAATAAATTGGCGTTTCTCACTCCGGCTGCCCAATTTTACGCCGATATTCTAAGCAGAAATAATGGCAGTGATTCTGGCCATACGCAAGCTCCCTACATATCTTCGGTGGTTATGCCGATCGATTCTTTGTTCGTTTGCACTGCTCTGGTAGTACCAAAGACATCGCCTTGTTTATAAGAATTTCGTACATATATGCCCAATCATGTTCGTTTTGTCCACTTGGTTTGGGTGCCAGGTAGCACTGGACTAACACTTCATGAAGCAGCAGACACACTGGCGGCAGCATCAATACAGGGCCCTGTTCTGAATATTCCAGGACAATGCTGCCTATATACAATCACGCATTTTCAAAATTGTGACAGGAATAATGACAGGAAAACGCCAACTCTTCTGTTCTAAATTACATAAATTTTCAGCACCTTTCCTTTTAGTGGTACAGCTCATGGTGGGCAACAAGACCATTTGAAATTACATTTACTGAATTGCAGTGCCGGGTTCAACATATAATTTTTTTTTATTTCTACTGACCTGGCTCTGTTTCTTCTCCCCAATGTTATTACTGTACACAAGCAGAAACTGTAGAAAACTTTTTCACAAAATGCAGCAGGTACAGAAATTCAAAACAAAAATTTTCGACACTTTCTGAAAACATGGGCTCGAGCTGTCTGAAACGATATTACTCTCCCTAAGGGCGTCGGCACTGCATCGTTGCAACAGGGACATATATGGAGCGGTATATATCTATACAAAAGAATCAATACGCCTGCCATGTTAATATCACAAGTATATGCTTGTTACTTATTTTCCTTATTAGTACTTATGTATCTTTATTTTAATATTTATTATTTATATGTTTAAAAGTTTTCTTCTATATCAATTCCTAATAGACTGTTAACACAACTAATTTTTTCGTTCTCATAAAAAAAAAAACTCTTTTTAAGGCATTCACCCCTTCTATCCCCCCCCCCCTTTTTTTTTCGTTTTCGAAATCCCCCTGCTGCGCGATTCGTGGCCGATCCTACGCAGTGGGTTGAGGCATTCCTCTTGGGTTCGACCAACCAATTTGCTGCCACGCTGCTCGAGTCCACGCGCATCATCGTCTTCCTTTGGATCAGGGCTTCAGGCCAGCTAGAGTATAGCAAGCGAAGCAATACCACGTCCTTTGACGGCCACCGTGAGCTTCAGCGATGGATAACAGCGTCGCTCTGCCAGACATCTCGCTCCACGACTCTTCCGGAGCCGAGAAAACGACCTCCCGACTGAGCTCGCTCAGAACCATCGGCGCCTACCCCATGTCCGTGGTTTTCCGTGTGCTGCGCATGCTCCGCACCGGGCTGTTCACGGTGTTCGCTTTCAGCGGTGGCCGCTGCGCTGACGTCGAAGAGCGCCGAAACGATCCTCTACCGGCGTCTAACGGCAGGCCAGACACCATGGCGGTGCCGAATGTGGAGCTTTACCCAATATCTGGTATGACATGCACCAGTCACCCGGCAACGACATCGCGTCCCGGATTGGCGACGAAGGCAGTCGCTTCACGAGCCCAGACACTGCCTCGAGCAGCAGGACGCGGTTTGCGAGAAGGATCCTTCCGCGGCAACAGCGACGAAAAGGGGACGCCGACACTCAAGGGTGTTGACTCGCGGCTTGCCCAGGTGATCCTCAACGAGATCGTGTACGGTGGGCCCGAGGTGCTGTTCAGTGACATTGCCGGCCAAGAACTGGCCAAGCAGGCGCTCACCGAGACGGTTCTACTGCCCGTAGAACAACCGCAGCTGTTCACAGGATTGCGGGCCCCGCCGAAAGGTGTGCTGCTTTTTGGGCCGCCCGGCAGTGGAAAGGCGATGCTGGCCAAAGCAGTGGCCCACGCGTCGCGCTCCACATTGCTGCACGTCCGCGCACCTTCATTGATTTCAAAAGGTGTTGCTGAAGGCGAACAACTAGTGCACGTCCTTTTTTCAGTTGCAAGAGACGTGCAACCGAGCATCATCTTCGTCGATGAGGTTCACTGCCTGCTCAGCGAAAAGAAAAACAGCGAGCATGAGGCAGTGTGGAGGATGAGGAAAATGTTTTTCGCTGAGTTTGATGGGCTCGACCCTGAAGGTGACGAGCGAATTTTCGTTATAGTTGCCACCGATCGACCGCAAGCTCTAGACGATACCGCACTCAGGCGATTCACGAAGCGGTTGTATGTGAAGCTGCCAGACGAGCACGCACGGCTGGTGCTTATACAACAGCTTCTGAAGAACCAGAACAGCCGACTGTCCATTGAGAAACTGAAGTACCTGGCAAAAGTGACAAGTGGCTACTCGGTGGGCGATCTGGCAGCTTTAGCCAAAGACGCAGCTCTGGGCTCCATAAGAGAGCTCACTCGTGAGCAACAACGAAGGATTGAGCCGGCAAAAATGCGTCCAATCAACCTCGAAGATTTTATGCAGCCAATGGAGAAGATACACTGCAGCGTGTCACCAGATAGCCTAGATTTGTACGAAAAGTGGAACCAAGAGTTTGGCGATATCACCATTTGACGTGGTCAGCACGCCAGCGCACATTAAAGAGCCCATCGTCAGTGCTGCCAGAACGTTTCGTCTTTTCAGTTGCTCTACCAAACTGCTACATGCATGCGCCCGCTTTTTCGGTGACTCTGTTATCGGTGTACCGGCCTACAGTTTCAATAAGCGCCTTTTCTTATCTGAACTTGAGTCCACACTATCATCCTTATCGATAGAAGAGCATGTGTGCATCATAGGAGACGTCAACATTGACCTTTTGCGTCCCACTGTAGGCCTCGTTGCTGATTATCTAGACAGCCTTCCTAAATGGGGCTTAGACTGCCGAATAGATCAAGCGACTCGAGAGGAATTTTTGGCTGGCAAGCTCGTCGTGTCGTGCATTGACCACGTTTTCGTGCGTGCGCAGAACCTGCTCACAAAAACCGCAATAGTACAGACGAAGATAGCTGACCATTACTTTGTTTGCGGCTAAATCAGCTGTCCACATATGACGACGATGCCAACTGATACAAAAAAACTAATTTCGGTGCTAGATTAAAAAAAGTGATAATCTGGTAGCTCATTATGACTGGAATTCCTTGTTGTCAATAACGTCTCCTAGTGATCTCTACGATAAATTTGTAGAAGCGTTCATATGCTTAAAAGAAAGTGCGACACGAACGATACACATTAAACAACGTAAATTGGATAATAAATGGATGTCAACACATTTACTCGCTGTAGTAAAAGAAAAGGACTTTGGACATAATGTAAGCGTTATCCTAGCTGTTCAGACTTGCGAGCCAAATTTAAGCAAAGCAGAAACAAGGTTAATGCTATGATTCGCTCGGCTAAACGAACCCATTTTCGAGCGAAATTTAAGGATGCCAGTAACAGCAGCTAACAAAAAAAAAAAAAAAACTGGGCGTTAACACCTTTAGAGGCGCAAGCAGTGGCGTCGATATTTTGAATAACTTTTTTTCGAGTCAAGCCAATAACGCACAGGAGATTGCTGATGAATTTAACAACTTTTTCTCTCGAACAATTAAAAACACAAATTCCCAAGTAGGCCCGTGCACTTTACGTCACAGTGTTAGCGAATCAGCTTATCTACCTTCAATATCACATGAGGGCTTATGATCTATCATTTTCAGTTTGAAGTGTAAAAAATCTGCTGGTATTGATGGTGTTTCTATAACTGACTTGCACCGTACATTTGAATACACCCATGAAGTTCTGCTAGCACTAATAAATCGCATTATTTCTAGTGGATAAATTCCCATAAACTTGAAAACATCAATGGTTATACCTCTATACAAATGCGGTGCGCGTGATAAACTTGAAAATTTTCGTCCGATATGAATTGTGCCTTCTATAGCACAAATACTAGAAAAAACATTTGTTGTTAACGATGACAAGCTTTCTCGATAGTCACATCTTATCGCCTTGCCAGTATGGTTTTCGACAGGGGAAAAGCACTCAGACACTATTGGAAGACTTCTCTGATCAGTTGAACGAGGCGTTCGATAACAACAAAGTTGCCTGTGCGCTCTTTCTTGACTGCAGCAAGGCTTTCGACAGTGTCCATCATACCTTGTTATTGGATAAACATTTTTAGTTAGGGTTTACGGGTGCTTTCTAGTCTTTGTTGGCAAATTTCCTCCAAGGCAGGCGTCAACTTGTATCCGGTGAACAATCTCACAGCGCGTTCTAAATCATCAAAACCGGCGTTCTACAGGGATCAATTCTCAGTCCGCTGCTATTCAATATTTTTGTAAATGACCTTCACAGCACGATACCGGTTTCTCTATATCAACAAGCCGACGACACTGTGATCGTGACGACTGCAAACAACTTTTAGGAGGCGATTACTCTTCTTCAGTCAGCTGCCACTAAAGCCATGGATTGGTTTCGAGATAACCTTATGTGTCTAAAACTTATGTGTCGAGATAAATGTGTCTAAAACTAATCTAATCTGCCTCCACAATATATTGAAGAAAGTAACCCTTGACTATCCTTTCATTTTGCATTGTTCTGACTGTTCATCCTGCTCTTGTAGTCCATTACAGTATTCATCTGTTGTGAAATACTTTGGCTTATACATTGACAGCGACCTTTCCTGGAATAGTCATCTCGCCTATGTTTGCAAAAGAGCCCCGCCGCGGTGGTCTAGTGGCTAAGGTACTCGGCTGCTGACCCGCAGGTCGCTGGTTCGAATCCCGGCTGCGGCGGCTGCATTTCCGATGGAGGCGGAAATGTTGAAGGCCCGTGTGCTCAGATTTGGGTGCACGTTAAAGAACCCCAGGTGGTCAAAATTTCCGGAGCCCTCCACTACGGCGTCTCTCATAATCAAATGGTGGTTTTGGGACGTTAAACCCTACACATCAATCAATCAATATGTTTGCAAAAGACTTCGCGCGGTGTCATGTCTATTATGTAGCATAAGATACAACATGCCGTTTTCAGTACGTAAGATGATAGCACACGCTTTTGGTTAGAATATACTGCGTTGCGGAATAACCATTTACGGACACTGTGCTGTCCGTTGGCACAATAGAATAAACAGAATATTTGCGTTAGATTGTAAAAAAATATATCTTACGACCTGAACATTAATTCTGAGAAAGACATTTTCAAAACGCTGTTTATGCCAAACTTCAATGATCTGTGAATTCAAACGGTTGTTTTAAAACATTTCTGGTTCAAAGAATTCCTGGTTCCGTATGTTACTTCTCGTTCTTTAAGGCCCAAAGTACGTTACTGGAGGCCGCGGTGTTCAACAAAGTATGGAACTAGAATACGAGCCCATTGTGTACCAACCTATTTCAATGTACTTTCCCCCAGCATTTTTGGCACAAAAACAAAATACAAATTAAAGAAACTGCTACGGCGTATCTGTCTACAATTTTAATGCATGTCGTGTGTTATTTCATATACACTCATTCGCAAGCATGATGCTGCACAATTATCCAGTGTGTTACTTTGCTTAAGAAGCATTTGCTCTAATTCTTTCTTTTTTTCCTTTACACCCTTTCACTTTCAATTGCTGTAACTATTGTATAATGCCTATAACTATTGCTTATATGCCCTGTTGTTTCTAATCTTATATGCACGTTGTTTTTTGTCCTATCATCGCTCTTAGGCCATGAAATACAATCTTGTAACGCGTCCGGTTCATTTTGCGGTCTGCCAGGCTCTGCCACTGAAGCCACCAATTGGCTTTGGCAGGCCTAGTCACATGTACTGTTTTATTTGAAGAAATAAAAAGGTATTATTATTATTATTATTATACGACTGTGACATGGTTCCCGGACGCTGCTCCGTTACGTGGAGTTTTAAATAGAATGGAACAATATAGTTCCAGTTTACAACCCAGACAACTCGCAGTGAACGGCAGCAAGTGGTTCCATCCCTTCTTACCAGTGGCTGCCGGTCAACCATTTCCTAAAAGCTTAGCAAGATAATCTATCCCGTGTGTACTCGCGGATGGTTTTGCACGAAGATCTGTATGTGCAGTTGCTTGTAACTGTGTTCACCTCGGCGATATTGCCTGTTTGCTGGGCTCCCCTGCTGGTGTATCTCGCATTTTCGTGTTAGATGATAACCGGCTAGCCGAATTAAAGCCCACACATTTCAGGCTGCAAGTTTTAAGTTTAACAGCCTAACCAGTCTTGAACGCGCAGCACTGTCAACGCAACAGCTCAAAGAGCGGCCTTTCGGAGCCTTTTCTTAGCACTAAGTTTCTGCTACAAGCACTTGTTGAGTACGCCATAAATAATGACAATTTTTGCGTAGTATGCCTGGCAATCACTGTGCTATCCTTCATCATACTACGGAAAAGCGTGGTATCCGCTACACATTTTCTAGAAATATTGTGCAAGATTTTTATGCAGTGGCTGACGACGATGAAGTAATATGTCGGAAATGGGCATGCGCCACAGTCAATAGCTGATCAAGAAGACGTTTTCTTATGGGTTAGAGCATTGGACGACCCACTCTATGCAATTCACAGTGTTACGCGCATGGTTGTTCCTTTCATGTTCTAAAACGCTTGATTACTCATATTGCGGACACTGGTGGTGGCGGACAACGACAGCGCCTAATGTGACCCGTGTTCCGATTTCGTAACAGCTTTCTCTGTAGAAATGCTTCATAACGTGAGCGCTTGGATAATAGCCGCCGGGGCAGCTCAGTGCATCGAACGCGTTATTCGTCGCAGGTTGGGTTTGCCCACAAACGTCGCCTTCCTTTTCTTTCTTGAATGACTTATTGATAGCTAAAGTAAAAGTTTACGCTACTTTGTTGAAAGATAGGTTGCATACTGTGGGAAGACTTAATTGTGCGGTGGGAATGCTGCAACAATTGCTCATGTAAGCTGCTACATACATGCAACGAATAAGATAAACTGCTTTGACGCTACTCTGTTATGTGGAGTTCTAGATTGCATGGAACAATGAAATTGGCCTAATGGAACATCAGTTTCTATACAACCAAAACAACTTCGGGTGAACGTCAGATAGTAGTTACGCCCATATTTGAGCAGTGGTGGTATGTCCCCTACTTCCTCAAAGCTTTTTGATATAATCTAATCTAGTGTGCACATGAGCATAGTTTGGTGTGGAAATCTGTCAGTGAAGCTGCTCTTCATTTAGTGCACTTGGGCGATATTGCATTTTTTCTAGTCCCCAATGCTGGTGAAACTTTCTTGGAAGCACAATAGCAGCCTATATGGGGTAGGTTTCATCTTAAGGACACATTTTTAACGCGCAAGCGTTAAAGATTTCGTTTCGCTGACACTCCGGCGTCGGCGTAGGAACCGTTGCCTGTGAGCGTAATATCATAATCTTGTACTTAACCACACACACAAAAAAAAACGAGAGAAAGACACAAACAAAATAAATAATCAAATTTTCAGTTTCAAGTGAGGATTGAAATCAGGCCGTTTGCGTGGCAAGAGGGTGTTCTGCCACACAGTCATGCGTCTGCATATACGTAAATAGCGTGAAAATACATTAGTCCGCATCAAAATGCAGTGA